TGTTTGCGACCGTCGTCGTCCGTTAACATTTGAACATTTTCAGCTTCTTCTCTGAAACCATTGAACCAATTTCAACCAAATTTGGCACAAAGCATCTATGGGTTAAGGGAAACAAAAGTTGTGAATTTCATGATCCCTGCCCCCCCCCCCCCCCTGGGGCCTGAGGGGTGGGGCCAAAACCACTAAAATTAATGCAATTTTTAAAAATCTTCTTTACTCCTGGACATAAAGCAGTCAAACTGTTTGCATGATTGTCCTCTACCAAAATTGTGAAATTCATGGCCCCAGGGTCAGGGGTTCTAGTGCTAGGGCGGGGCTAAATAAGTATATAGTGAAAATGAATTTTTTCTTTGAAAATCTTCTTCTCTGCTCCTGGGTATTAAATAAACTAATTAAGTGCATAGTTATGATGAGCAAGAGTTCCTCTACCAAAATTGTGAATTTTATGGCCCCAGGGTCAGGGGTTCTGGTGTTAGGGCGGGGCTCTATTGATTATATAGTGAAAATACATTAATTATTAGAAAATCTTCTTCTCTGCTCCTGGGTATTAAATAAACTAACTAAGTGCATAGTTATGATGAGCAAGAGTGCCTCTACCAAAATTGTGAATTTTATGGCCCCAGGGTCAGGATTTCTGGTGTTGGGGTGGGGTTCTATAGATTATATAGTGAAAATACATGAATTCTTTGAGAATCTTCCTCTCTGCTCCTAGGTATTAAATAAACTAATTAAGTGTATAGTTATGATGAGTAAGAGTGCCATTACCGCAATTGTGAATTTTATGGCCCCAGGGTCAGGATTTCTGGAGTTAGGGCGGGGGTCTATAGATTATATAGTGAAAATACATAAATTCTTTGGAAAAAATTTTTCTCTGCTCCTGGGTATTAAATAAACTAACTAAGTACATAGTATTGATAAGCAAGAATCCCTCTTCCAAAATTGTGAATTTTATGGCCCCCGGGTCAGGGGTTCTTGTGTTAGGGCGGGGCTCTATTGATTATGCAGTGAAAAATTACATTAAATCTTTGAAATTTTTTTCTCTGGGTATGAAGCAGATGAATTACCTATATGGTTATGATGAGCAAGGGCCCTAATCTTCCAAAATTGTGAATTTCAAGGCTTTAGGGAGAGGGTACCAAAGGGGGGCTGTACTTATATACTGAAAATGAAGGAATTGTTTGAAATCTGCTCCTTGATATTAATCAAATATTTTTGAAAAGCAAGGATGCCTTTTCAAAAATTGTGCAGTGTGTGGATCTAGGCCTAAGGATCAGGGGTTCATGTGTGGCAAGGGCACTACTAATTATTGCTGAATATTACTGATTAGTTGAAATGCATTTTTTGTTCCCCTACCCCGCCTATGGTAACCAAGCTAAGCAAATGCTAAGTGTATTGTTATGATGGTCAATGGTGCCTCTTTCAAAATTGTGAATGCCATAGCATCTGGCTTAAAACATGAATCAAATGAAATAACTGGAAAGCTGTTGCATAATGCTCAGGTGACCTATAAGGCCCATGGGCCTCTTGTTTAATTTAGGAAGTAACCATTAATTTTGGCCAACGATTTGTTGAATTCAATATCAGTGTGCATCAAGAAAGGATGTATTCGCTTCAACAAAAGAATTGACCTATAGGAGAGAACAATTTCCCGGAAAAAGTGACATTTAAATATTAATCTTTTTTGTTGTTTTTTTACCGTACATATGTCTAAGTTTTTCAAATTTGTATTTCATACCTAATATTTATTATTTTCAACTTTACAATAAACCTCCAAAGTTAGCCAAAACAGCATTTTGTCCGTTAAATCAGACAAAAATCACACATGTAAAAAAAAAATCTGATAACTTGGGATAGAAAGAGCACATCCTCAATTTTAATAAAATTTATTTATACCCATGGGTTTTTAAAAAATATTCTGTTACCATGGCAACGAAATATCACAAAAATTCATTTTCAAAAATTACCCATTTTTAAAAGCATAGTTAAACAAAAATCACACATGTTAAAGATATCTGATAACATTGGATAGAAAGAACACATTCTTAATTTGAATAAAATTTAATAAAAACTATGCATTTAAAAAAATATTCTGTTACCATTGCAACGACATATCACAAAAATTCATTTTTCACCAAAATGACCTATTTTAGAAGCATATCCAGAAAAATACAACAAATTAAAGAAATCTGGGTTCATATGCATAAAAAATCTAAGAATTTTTATTAAGTATTATACTTATTCCCAGATCAAACTGCTTAACTAAGAAACATACTTTAAGTTTCATGCATAAAAATTCTAAGTACATTACTTAGTGCATCATAGCAAAGCATATCACTTCTTGCTTAAAATAAAACGTCACAATGGTGTGACGTCATTGAGGGTTTTGACGATATTGAATCTCCCGTTTTACGTCATCATCATCGTCTGAATATGGCAGAGAAGAAACGTAAACCAAACTGGACACTGGAAGAATGTTTACATTTAACGCGTTTATTTAACGATAATAAGAAAATTTTGAGGGCTAAATTCGGCGCCGGAGTGACCACTCAAAGGAAAAGGGAAGTATCATAATGGAAAAATATTACTGAAGCAATTAATGCAGCCAACCCTTCAACCATCCGGACTATAGAAGAAGTCGAAAAGAAGTGGCATAACATCCACATGAAGGGGAGGGGAGAAATATCTGATTTTAGAAGAAGTTTGCAAAAAACAGGTTCGTGAAATGCTTGGTATGCTTGTTATGTAAGCCATGTTGTTTACCGTACCTAAGATACAAGTGATATAAGGGTGATAACTCTATTGTCGGTATTGAGGCATTATATATAACGGGATGTAAGCAGTAGATCTAACTGTGAAATTCTGAAATTGATATTCCAAGTCAAGAGACTCGTAATGTATTAAAAATTTATTTTATAAAGTACCAAAGTTACATGTGTAATAATGTACCGTAGGACTTTTGGGTCGTTTAAATTCGAATAACAAAAGACAGGCGTCAAAGACTGAAAGAGTAGACTGTGTCAAATTTGGAAATTATTTTAGCACGAAAAGATTACGGAAATTTGGACGACCTTGGTAATCATGAAGATTGTTTATTTTGATTTATTAGTATATTATAGGTCATAGTCTCACTGTGTTTACCCTAATGGCCTGTGCGAGAATATAACCATACCTTTATTTTTTATAACCCCCCCCCCGACCAGCAATTTCATTTACCGAAAATACTTTACACAATCTAATAAATAGTAGATGTTAGATCCTCTCACATACTCGCTACACATACATTGGATCTAACATCTACTTTTACTTAGATTGTGCACACCGTGAAGAACTTTTAGATTTTCCAAACAAATGCCTAGATCTATGTAATAATGATTTGTTCAGAAACAAAAAAAAAATCATATACTATAGTGAATTACAATCAGCTTGAAATTAGCAAGCCTTAGTGAAAAAAATATTACTATCTCAGCTAAAGTGATCCCCGGTATTTTTTGATAAAGGAAATGTAAACTTTTTTATATACATGAAATAATGGATATATCTTTTTGAAAGCAACAAAAAAACAAATTTTAAATAAAAACAAAATGCTTCAATTTACATAGGTGGAGGACCGGCAGAGAAACCATTAAGTGCACTGTCACAAGCTGTTGGGGAGGTAATTGGTGAGAAAAATGTTTCTATCTGCGGAATATCTGGGGCCTTTGATTCCTCTTTGATGACGTTTAACAATTTCAACAGGGGCATGGACGACATTCCATCGAGTTCATGCAAGGGTAAGGCTTTCTTAAGTGTCAGTCAACTTTATTACTGTTTTTTTTTTAAATCTCGATATTGACTGTTTTGGCTGATTTTTTTTTTTTGAATAGTAAATCGATAATTTGATGCTCATAAATGACGAGTATAATTCTTTAAAAATTATTTTTAAACAGACGAGTGGTGGAGGATTTTCAGCTCGACCCACAACTCTCAACGTGCACGAGTCAGCCCATTATCCAAGAAGACGTGTCACTGGGTATCTCGGCCTTTCTCCAAGAGAAACTACAGCTACATGTAACCTAGCTAAAGAGAAACTTCTAATCGAAGTTGAGAACCTCCGTCTGAGGAATGCCCTTCTGAAGCAACAATTGAAAGACTTCAATAAAAACACTTGTAAAACTTTTTATTAATGTTTATACTGAAAATAAATTATATTCGATAAAGGTAAAATAATAAATGTCTTCTCTCTAGAAATGATTCATTATAATGTGATTTCTGTATGCTCTGCCATCCAGATTGTCGGGGACACAGTTGTTGTTGTCAGCATCATCGTCATCACTGCCCTCATCAGAATCATCGTCACTTTCTCCATCCTCGTCAGTGATTGGCGTGTTTAGCAATTTTGCTAAATTATGAAGCCATAATAATCTTGCAAGCCCTCTCTGGACACAACCTTATCTCAGAATGTAATACATGAAAACGTCTTTTCCATTGTCCTATGGTTCTCTCAACAATGCGCCTCGTAACCTTGTGTGATCAATGAATGAAAAATAAATAAATTACAGGCACGTAGCATCGTTTTTGAAAGTGGGGGGGGGGCAACCTGAGAATTTTTTTTTTTTACTTATCTAAAAAATGTTGACAAGCAAAGAAAAAAAATAAACCTTGAAAATCCTATATATATCTAATGTTTTCCTATATTTCCTTGCTATGAATATACTGTGGGGGGGGGGGGGAAGGGGGGAACCATCTTTTCAATGGACATTTTTTATAGTAAAGGTAATGTTGGGGAAAAAGTGCCCCCCCCCTGTTGCTACGTGCCTGAAATAATTGATTACTGAAGATGTATCCAATAATTAGGGGGAGGGTAGGTTCTAACTTGAAAAAGTATATTATTTCTGGTTGTTGATTTTTTTTATCGAATGGCGATAATGCGGTAACTAACTGTAAATCAACCTGGAAATATGTCGATGCAGAAAATCATGAGAAAAAAGTTCGCAGTATAACATCATTATTAAATAAGACATTTACCCATTGTATCTTCTTTCCTGTTGGGTTGCAGGGTTAAGGAAGGGAGTCAGGATCCAGTTTTTGCACGGATAGCCACTATCACCGAGAAGGTGACATTTAACAGGAATTAGTCCGGGTGTTTGAAATAATTGGCTAATGCCACTTTCTCGCAAAATTCTTGCGTCATGTGTTGACCCTGGCCACTTGGCGACTATGTCCAGTATATGACAATGTGCGTCCACGACAAGTTGCACATTAACACTATGGAAGTTTTTTCTATTAACAAATTCTTCTTCATTAACTGTAGGACGCAATATCCTAACATGGGTCCCGTCGATAGCGCCAAGCACTCCCGGAAAATTGGCGATTGCGTGAAAGTCTGTCTGGTGCCTGTGAATTGTCTGAGCGTCGGTAGGCAATTTTATATATCTTTGAATGATATGTGGTCGAGTTAAGGCTGTAGAGACCCTTTGAACAATCCTAGACACAGTGGATTGGTGAATTCCCAAGTCATCCCCGTTACATAACTGCATTTTTCCTGTTGCGAAATAGCGAAGAGCTATCATGACTTGTAAATTAGTTGGTATGCTACAATTTCGACTTGTTGCTGGTGAAACGAAATCGTCAATCAGCGTCCCGATATGTTCAATTCCTTGTCTATCAAAACGGTAGCGTGTGATAAGTCCCACAGCATTGTATTCCGTAAAGGGATCTAATCGCCGCTTAAAAACACGACGTTGTCTTTGCTGTCTTGCAGCCATTTTGCTGTGGTAAGCAAAATGCTTAAAAACTTTAGACAAGGTGAGGGGTTGTTTAACTTTAAGCATATTCTAAGACATATAAGTAAGAATAAGAAACGTCATGCAATCCACTTACAACGTAAAGTGACGTACCAAGTAAAAAACGTCACTCTGCTTAAGGTAAATCGGCACTTGAGAATATACTTAGCAGAATAAGAATTTTTATGCATATGAACCCTGATTCCATAGAAAGAGCATATTCTTAATCTTAAATAAATCAATATGCAGACATCTTTACCTGTATACAACCATACAATTCAAATCAATATGCAGATGTCTCTACCTGTATACAATCATACAATTCACATCAATATGCAGATGTCTCTACCTGCATATAACCATACAATTCACATCAATATGCAGATGTCTATAGTATATACAGTCATACAATTCACATCAATATGCAGATGTCTGTAGTATATACAATCATACAATTCACATCAATATGCAGACGTCTCTATCTGTATACAGTCACACAATTCACATCACATAGTGCTACCATCTTCAAACAACAGCGTGTTTCTTATGTTTTCTCTCTCTTCTTCCTCTTCTATTGACTGCAAGATTTCTCTCAGTTGTTCATCATTCTCTTGTTCCTCCTTGAAACCACTGGCCTTTCCATTCAAAGAAAGTCTACCAAAATAAGAGTTTATCTAAGAAGGCTGCAGCCATTCTTCTGAAGTGAAAAACTTTTCCCCATTGCTATGTCTCAGTGATCTCATTTGCTTGGCGCTTTTCTTCCTGATTTCTCACCTTCTTGGTACACTCGTATTAGAAATTCTTTAACTTTTGCAGAGAAGCGGGCAAATTTTCTTGCTTTTTTTATTGCCCATCCTTGGGGAAGTTTTTTTCTTGATGAATTTGAATCTTCAACTGAGTGAAGATCAGTGCCTATTTGTAAGATCTGCTTGGACATGAACAGATTTGAATGGCATGTCTCCGACCAAAGATGTCGAATTTCATCAAATGTAGAGCTTTTTTCCTGCACATGCCGATCCAACTCTATATGTTCTAGAAGATGCTGATAGGAGGAAAAATGCTGATTACAGCCTAATACGGAACAGTGGAAAATCTGTGGACAGTTTTCTTTTCTCTGAGAGGAGATACTTCCATACTGTGTCTGTGGCTCTTCTTCAAAGTCAGACAGTATGACAAGTCCTGTTTGACTTTGCTCAGTTTTCAAAGCATCCTCTCGATTGATCTTCACACCAATGCCCACATTGAAACTATGCCAGGCAATGATGTCTTCTCCTTCAAAAGAAAGATTGCTGATAGAAGAGACGCCTTTGAAGCAATGACTTGTCATCGTTTGCTTCTTCTTATCAACTTCTACTACTGCACACTGGCATCCTACAACACCACTTCCATCCATGATTGCGTTCTTCAAGTCAAATGGTGTTATCACATTTTTTCCTGATGAAACAAACATCCTTTTGCCTGCTTGGACTTCACTAAAGTCGTATCGTAGTATATTGATACTTATAAAAAGAAAAAAATAGACATCAAAATAAAATATGATTGTTATAGACATACATTCTGTAGCATGCAGTCAATAATAGCATTTAATGTCAGTGAACTTTAACTGTTTATAGGGTTTATAGGGAGAATTTTAAAAAAGGACAGTGTTAAATGTTTACACAACTGTGTCAAAGCAAATTTAAAGCAAGACAAAATTGTTCTCTGATATGACAAAAATAATGAGAAAATAAATAGTTTTTATGTGTGAAAAATTCAGGCAGGCAACTGCATGATTGTCAACTTACCTGTTCTTTCACTAATGCCATGTAAACTTAGCCACAGGCACCCACAGTGGTAGCACCCAGCATTATCACTCCTTAGAAATACTTCTTCTACTTCTGGCATTTGCACCCTTAAAGTCTGAAGGATATGCTCCAGAGCTGATGCGACAGCAAACCAATCTTGTTTGACTGCGCCAAAAATATGCGTGAATGTCTTGTGCTAAAAAAATAAGATAAAACATTTTAAACAAATTTACTTATTAATATTTGACAATATAAAATTCTTAAAAAAGATTATAGAATGCATCATATAAACTTATCTAAACATATTAGTAAAAATTTTGTCATCAATGTAAATTGCTGAGGAAGAGAGTACTTGATAATATTTTAAAATCTGGCAGATTTTTAGCGTCGCCCGCGTGGCGCTGTGGTTAGAGCGTCTGCTCTAGAGTCGCGAAGTAAGAAGTCAATCCTTACGTCGCGGGATCGAATCCCACTGTGGGACGTGGAGACTGGTCCTTCGGATGAGACCGTATAAACCGAGGCCCCGTGTCGCAGTAGGTGCTGGCACAAAAAAGATCCCTCACTGCTCAAAGGCCCTGAGTGCCGAGCATAGGACAAAATTTGTAGCCCTCCACCGGCAAGTGGTGGCGTCTCCATATGAGTGAAAAATTCTCGACAGGGACGTTAAACAACATACAATCAATCAATCAATCAGATTTTTAGAAATAATTTCATCAATCGGCAGCCTTATTGTATTCTGCAATCAATAATCCAAAAGATAATTGTGACATAAAATCATGTTGATTCTGAATCTAATTACAGTTCTAAACCATTACCTAGGGCCGCTGCAAAATAAAATTCTGAAGGTACATATATCCCCCCCCCCCCATGCAAAAAAATGTCCCCTTGTGAGCTGACAATTTACATACACAAACTCAACTGAAGTTTCTTAAATAACAACTACCTATTCAAATTTATCATAAAAATGTGCATATTGTCTAAGTCAAAATGTTCTTGAAATGTTCCAAAACAAATACATTCACAAAATAAAATGTATCAGGCTTATACTAATACCTTCAAAGATCCATCTTCTGCTCTGAAAACAGCAACAGAAATGTGTCAGCTCATGCCTTTTTGACCAAAAGAGTCTGACTGCTTTTCTCTGTACATTGCTGGAAGAAATTTCATAGCCCAGTCCATGATAATGAGTAGTTGATGAGGCTGAAGCTCTTCCAATATCTTGTATCTTCCTTCTTCCTGATTCTGGGTTCCAAGAATGTGAGCTTTCCAATAAGAAATTTTTTCAATTGCCTTCTCCAATCTAACTGATAATTCTTCCACTATTTCTGATGCTGTAATTAAGATATATGAAATTTCAACATTTGATTATCAGACTTATGTTTAACAAAGAGCTAGGTTAACTTTATGCATAAAACGGCCCTGTACTTATATCAATTAATAAACTATCGCCCTTTTTCCCATTTCATATATCAAAATAAAGTAGACACGTGGTGCTTTCATTTCATATAATAAAATTTCTTTTTGAGAATCCAAATATTGGAAAACACGCTTTGAGAAATAGAAATGTTCTCGAAATTTGCAGAAAACATGCGTATTTGACTACTTTTAGCAAAGAATTAAAATATGAGCACAGCCCACGATCCAAAAAATGAAACGTGTTTTTTGAACTTCAGAAACAGATCTTTCATTATGTATTTGCATATTTTGGATCAGAGGTTGTGCTCCATATGAAATATTAAAAAAATACTTCAACTTTAGGCCATTTTCGAAGGAAATTACAGATATGAGGAAAATAACGCATTTTATTACGTCATAATGCATTGGGTAAAGGGAAAATAATGTCATGATTAATGGATACGTGGTCACCAACAGCCCAAGTGATAATTACTGCTTTTGCAGCATAAACAGAGTGGTTTTGATTGTTCAGATATTCTCAGGGCCAAATAAGGTACAAAGTGGCTCTTGCTCTTTAGTGTGGGACTGTCCAGTGGATGCCAATACCACTGTTTTAAGTTTGCTCTTAGTCATCCAACCAATGCAAAAATAGATATGATCCTATTAACAGTTTTTAAAATTTCTTATCAATAAACTTACATCTGACTTTCTGCACTTCCTCGAAAAAGCCACTGCTTATTTCTTCAATGAGATTACATTTTCTACAAAGTTCCTCATGTGCATGATCACATTCTTCCTGGAGCAAGACATTGGTTGGATGACTTAGAGCAAACTTAAAACAGTGATCTTGGCATCCACTCGACAGTCCTACACTGAATTTATATTCTGATTTTAAATACATCTCCAGATTCTTTAAATCATTGGTCAAATTGGTTATGGTGTTTAATCCAGATCCAAATTCTCTTAAACGCTCAGACATTTGTATAAGGCCATCTACGGCTGCTGCACCATCAGTGGCAATGTTATCAAGACCACATAAACTTGTTCTTTTACTAGCAGAGCATGTAGACATGATCTTGTACAATGTTGAATCAGATAATGGAATAAAATCCAGGATTCCAAAATAGCGCCGCTCGAGGTAAGACGCGTCGAGTGAGGGAGCGTGGAGCGGCCGAGTTGACAAGTTTTATAGGACTGAAACATGGTCAAATTGTGAATTCAGACTTGCTCAGGGCGGATACATGCAGTGGTTTCCTTATTTGAAATCTAGGAGTGGTATTTTTAAGGAATTAGATCGAAACGATCGTGTAATGAGTAAAATCTATTTATAGCCTGTAGATCTACATGAGTACTATTGACAAATATTTTAAGATGCCTTCTACTGGTGTTACTACTCGTAAAGGTTCTACTCCAGCTACTAGCAAATCTCCAAAAGACAGTCAAAAGGATAGCCAGAAGGGAATTCTTTCCTCTGAGTCCTCTCCAAAACGTACGCAGGAAAATTCAATGTGTAGAAGTTCGGGCTTTACGGACCGTGGATATCGGCCTGGATAGCTCAGTGGTTAGAGCACCTGACTAGTAATACAGGGGTCCCGGGTTCGATTCCCGGTCCAGCCATATGTTTTCTTCGTGCATTTCTCCTTTCCTACTACATTTGGTGGCCAGTGTGGGGGGCCTTGTTCAGGTTACAGTGTATGTGTAAATTAGTAATTCCTGGCAGGGCCCTAGAACTTGTGTCTTCGAGGTCGAAGACTGTTTAAGGAGGGAGGAATGTAGAAGTTCGGGCTTTACGGACCGTGGATATCGGCCTGGATAGCTCAGTGGTTAGAGCACCTGACTAGTAATACAGGGGTCCCGGGTTCGATTCCCGGTCCAGCCATATGTTTTCTTCGTGCATTTCTCCTTTCCTACTACATTTGGTGGCCAGTGTGGGGGGCCTTGTTCAGGTTACAGTGTATGTGTAAATTAGTAATTCCTGGCAGGGCCCTAGAACTTGTGTCTTCGAGGTCGAAGACTGTTTAAGGAGGGAGGAATGTAGAAGTTCGGGCTTTACGGACCGTGGATATCGGCCTGGATAGCTCAGTGGTTAGAGCACCTGACTAGTAATACAGGGGTCCCGGGTTCGATTCCCGGTCCAGCCATATGTTTTCTTCGTGCATTTCTCCTTTCCTACTACAAATGCAAATAACAATGGATTCAATTCAAACACAGCTGACCGAGATTAACAACGAACTCAAAAAGACAATAAAGGTTAGTGATATTCAAACAGTCGTGAGAAGTGTTGTAGAAGAATTATATAGTAGTTACCAAGAAAAGTTTGAGAAGAAATTGAACGATGAAGTCGTAAAACTCAGAGAAGAGAATGAGAAACTACATCAAGAAAACAAAGATTTGCAGAAAGAAATTAGGGAACACGAAGAAGTATTAAACGACTTGCATAACAGAACGGAAGAAAACGAATGGATGACAAGGTCAGCAATTTCAAAAGCAAATTTCAATGAACAATATTCGAGGAAGAATAATTTAAAAATTCATGGTTTACCAGAGAAGAAAGGGGAAGAACCCTTACAGGTTGTGAATGAAGTGCTCGAGGAAGTGGGCGAACAGATTAAAGAAGATGACGTTCTAGCAATCCATAGGATTCCAAGAAAGAAAGACCAACATCGGCCAATTATAATAAAGCTTAAAACCATGGAAGCCAAAGTAAAGGTCATGAAGAAGCGATCGGACATTAAAGAACTAGAGTTACAGAATGATGTCAAGGTCAGAGTAACGGATGACGTGACACAAGAGAATGCAGCCCTTATAACAAGGCTCCTGCAGGACCACAGAATATCCGCGGCATGGTACTTTAATGGGCACATTTACGGAGAATGCGGGAAACGAAGAATCAAATTTGATTTATACGATGATATTGACAAGAAAATACGGAAAAGATGAGGCGATCTGGACTTGGTTCTTTAGTTAGTCGTGGACGCATGTATATCCGGTGAAATAAAATGGACATGACTGTCACTGTGATGACAACGAAAACAAGGTATAAGTAACATTAAACTTGTCAACTTGTGAGCCATCCAGGAATTATGCAAATATTTTTGTTTGTTTGTCTGTGTTTGTCTTTGTGTGAAAGATGTATGTATGTTTGGTTGGAAAAGAAATTTTATTTCGATCGAAAATGCCTTGAACGTACAATTTTGTTTTTAGACAACATTTACTTGTCAAAGCATAGTTAGAGATTGTGTAATACAGGTGGCTACGGAATAGTGAAATGAGTTTTAATATTTTAACATTTAATTGTAGAGGGCTTGGGGGACTAGAAAAGAGGAGAGACGTGCTTAACTATTTAAAACAGAAAAATTTCTCAATTACTTTTTTACAAGATACTCATTTTACTCTTGATGATTACTCACAAGTTAGATCTCTTTGGGGCTTTGATGTTTACATATCACCTGGTCAATCAAATTCTAGAGGTGTCGCAATTTTGTTCAACAATAATTTTGAATATAAAATACTAAATGAACAAAAAGATAAAGAAGGTAACTTGCTTGTTCTGGAGATTAATGTATTTAATAAATATGATATTTTATTAGTAAATGTATATGGACCGAATAATGATGATCCAAAATTTTTCCAATCAGTATCTGACATGATTTCAAATTTTCAAGGAGAATTTGTAATTTGGGGTGGAGATTTTAACCTTGTACAAGATGCAAATTTAGATTACTTTATTTATAATAATGTAAATAATAAAAAGGCAAGGGAAACAGTTCTGAATATGAAAGTTGTGCATGGTTTGACCGACCCTTGGAGAGTGAAATATGAACAACGTAAAAGGTATACTTGGTTTAAAATAAATCCTCTTAAAAAAGCTAGACTTGATTTTTTCCTATTATCTAACGAACTTTTTGCTTTATTAGATAACGTTGATATTATACCTGGGTATAAGTCTGACCATTCAATGGTTTCTATAGAAATTAAATTGACCAAATTTGAAAAGGGGAAAGGATTTTGGAAGTTTAACAATTCCTTACTCAGGGATCAGTCTTATGTAAACATTGTAAAAAATACTATACGAAAAGTAAAGGAACAATATGCTGTCTCTCCGTATAATCCAGTATGTATACATAAAATTGAAAATGAGGAATTATCTCTACTCATAGATGATCAATTATTTTTTTAGCAACTTTTACTGAGTATAAGAGGTGCTACAATTCAATATTGTTCTATAAAAAAGAAATTAAAAAATGAAAAAACTAATTTACTTGAAAACGAAATAAAATATTTAGAATCACTGAGAAATATTAATAGCTCAACAGAAATTGTAGAAATATTAAATGCTGCCCAAAATAGTTTAGAAGAAATAAGAAAAGAATATATAAAAGGGCTTTTTGTTAGAACAAAACTTAAATGGATTGAACAGGGTGAAAAACCGACAAGGTATTTTCTTAGTTTAGAAAGAAGAAATTTTATTAATAAAACTGTGAACCAACTCATGCACAGCAATGGTTATATTATTACTTCACAGGAAGAAATTTTATCAGAAATTGAGAAATTTTATAAGAACCTATACTCTTGCTTTGATAATAAATTACAAGATGTGAATCTAGAACATATAATTAATAAAGATGATATCAGGGTTCTGGATGACAACATGTCCAATAATTTAGAAGGATGTATAACATATAAAGAAGCCCTATCTGCGTTAAAAAAAAATGAATAATGATAAAAGTCCAGGTAGTGATGGCTTTACAGTAGAATTTTTTTAAAAATTTTTTGGAAGGATCTTGGAAGCTTTCTTATCAGATCAATAAATTTTGGATTTAATGAGGGAGAATTATCCATAACTCAGAAACAGGGAATTATTTCTATATTACCGAAAGGTGATAAACCAAGAGAATTCCTTTCAAATTGGCGACCAATATCACTTCTTAATACTACATATAAAATTGCTTCATCATGTATAGCAAATAGGATTAAAAACGTTCTCAACTATTTAATTCATGACAATCAAAAGGGCTTTCTTAGAGATAGATTTATTGGGGAAAATACACGAATGATCTATGATGTAATTAATGAAACATATGAAAACCATATTCCTGGTATGATATTACTATTCGATTTTGAAAAAGCATTTGACTCCATATCATAGAAATTTATGTACAATACGTTGCAATTTTTTAATTTTGGCCCTGACCTTATTAAATGGGTTTCAGTACTATATAATAAAGCTAAATTATGTGTTATTCAAAATGGCATTTTTTCTAAATTTTTTGAAATCGGTAGGGGGTGTCGTCAGGGTGACCCGATATCTCCTTACTTATTATGTTCCCCAAACGAAGTTGGGGAACATATTGTTTTTACTCTGTTTCTTATTATTATTAAGGTCTTCCGTCTTCACGGAAGACCTTATAGTGATTCTATTGTTTCTTATTATTATTATTATTATTATTCTTCTTATTTTTTTGACTTTCTAATTTTGTGCACGCGATTTCTCGAAGACTACTGGGTGGAATTACATGAAATTTTCAGGAAAGATGTGTTGTAACATGAATTTATTATATCTAAGAGAAAATTTGGAAACTCACTTCCAGTGCCAAGTTACGGACCAATTTCTGAAATTAAAATGACATTTTGTCCGCGGATAATCTCAAGAACAGTAAAAGATATCAACTTGAAACTTTCAGGGATTAAAGATCGTGATATATACCATCCAGGACGCGACCTTTCGTTCGTCGTCGGTACTTCCTGTCGTTAGGAGAAGCGAATTGAAAAAATCGCATTTTCTAACTTTTTTGTTTTTCAATATTTTTTATTTATTTTTGGAATGATAATAGAGACCCTTTGATTGATGCTTACTGTATAATTTCTTTGGACATTGGTTTGTCTGAACTCTAGATATTAATATTTGAAAATCTGAAGCGGGACCAAGATGGCGGCTGTCTCTGTCAACTCCGCCATTTGGCGAGTAGGGGTTTATGGAGGCAGCTGAGCGTTTGATTAAACCATTCTGACATAAGGATACATGAAATGTAAAAAACTACTTGGACTTTCACGTAGTGAAATGGTTGGAGG